TGGATAACTCTATCTATATAAAACCACAGAGAAAGGAATGTAGGTATTTGAGAAAAACCCTGCGAGCCTCAGACATACAGAACACAGCATGAGACCATGAAGGGAGCACAAGAAAACTTCCAAGAAACAGAACCAGGGTAGACGGTGTCACAGGGAAACGGCAACTCTGGGAGGCTGAGCCGTATGGGCAAGTTCCATGTTTGCATCTGGAGCTCCCCTGGACATGCCAGGTGCACGCATGCCCAGGATCCAGGGCTGCTGAAACTGGAGGTGCACTGTGACACAGTGACCCTGCGGGGGTTCCTGTTCTTTCTGTTTTTCTGGCTCATGGGAAAAAATAAACTTTTAAAATTGGGGCTTGATAGTGTTGGAGCAGTAACACAGCATTCTGCAAGGCTGGTCCACATGCGAGGTCTGGGCTTGCATCCGGAGACCCCCCTGAACACGCCAGGTGCTCACGCGCCCATGACCCAGCGCTGGGCAGAGCTAAGGGTGGGTGGTGGTGTGGGGACCCATCTTGTCAGGGGTGTCTGTCTTTTTCTCTCTCTCCCCGTCCCTCTCACTGATGGAAGAAACATCATTTTTTAAAAAGAAACTCATCAGAGAGTAAAAGTTACTGAATATATACAAGAAGAAGCATGGACAATAGAAAACGAGCATTCGGAGAAGTAATTTAAAAAATATAAAATGCAGCAAATTATAAAAAAAGACTAGATGGAAAAAGTGAGAAAATCTTTAACAAGTACAGTAAGAGGAACAGATGAACAATAACAAAGAAAACTTACAGGTTGAATATAGGAAATTCAGTATCTGAGTAACAGGAATTCCAGAGAAACTAGACAGAGAAAACAATAGGGGAAGAAGTAATCAAATAAATTATTATTATTTGGCAGAACTAAATGCTATGAGTTTCTAGATCTAAAGGATTCTTTTTTAATAATTATTTAATTTTATTTATTCATTTTTTATTTTAATTTGACCAGAGAGAGACAGAGAGAGAGAGACAGACAGACAGACAGAGAGACAGAGAGAGAGAGAAAGTGAGAAAGCACGCCACCAGGTCCGGGACTTGAACTGTGATTGGTCATGTGGGAGTGTCCAGCCCCTTAACCACCACGCCACCTGCTGGTCCATAAAGGATTGTTTTTAATTTTAATTTTTTTTTTTAGAAAGATTTTTACTATAGGGCACTTGTGCTTGTCAGAGAGACAGAGAAAAAGAGACAGAAAATAAGAAATCATCCACAGGTGGATGGCCACACCACAATACCTTCTCTTCATGGGATTTTGGGCATGAATATGCACCTGATGTGAGTTTTAAGCCATCACGTCTGGGACTTGAACCGCAGTCAACTACGTGGGAATCCAGTGATGTAACTATTATGCCATCTGCTGGCCCCCTAAAGGACAATTTTTAAAAATTTATTTATTTTATTTTTATTATTATTATTCAATTTGAGGAGAGAGAGAGAGTGAGAAAGTAAGCCACCAGGTCCAAGACTCGAACTGCAGTCAGCCATGTGACTCCAGCACCTTAACCACCACGCCACCTGCTGGTGCCTGAGAGGACTACTGAGTGCCAAGCATACACTTTGCATAAGAGACCTTTATTAAGGAAGGTAAATTCTAGTTTAGAATAATAGTGAAAAGGAGAGGAATCTACTAACTTCCAGAGACAAACAAGCACACCGGATGGTACTTCTTGAGAACACTGAAGGCTGAAAGCCCTTGGGGTGATGCCTGCGAAATCCTGAGGGGAAGAACACGCTAGTTCAATGCCCATCCCTGGACGACTATCTAAGACAGAGAGTACTACAAAGGCGTACAGGAGCTCAAAAACATACTCACCACGCAGTCGTTCTCAGGAAATATGCAGAATTTTCACTCCAAAAGATAAAAGATGACAACCTAGCAGACAGACAGGGTGAGAGAACTTTCGAGACAGGGAGAGGAAGGGTTCTGGAATGTCGGCCCTGGGACAGGGAGCTTCAGCGGGAACTTAGTAAATACAAACGGTGCCCGTTACCTGGCGTGTTTAAGTATCCACACTAGACATAAAGTTCCAGAGGCAAGTCTGGGGTGGTTAATGAGGGGAACAGAGACAGACAGAAAGTTAGGCAAGCTAAACGGAAAAGACGATCAACTCGGGGAAAGTGAGGCGCGCAGCAGGAGGGAAACTTACACTTGCTGATGAAAAACAATCGATTGAACTGAAGTTACACTCTCACCACACAGAAAGGAGGGGTAAGGGGAGCATGTCTGTGTGTCTTGGAGTAGGTGTAAGAGGGCCACCCCCTTATCTTCCATTGTAGAAAGACAAGTTAGGGAGCAGCAGTTGGCATAATGGCTGTATCGCTGGACTTCTATGTAGCGCACTGCGGTTCAAGTCCCTGATCCGGTGGCTTAAACTCACGCCGGGCGCGTGTGCATGCGTGCCCAAGATCCTGAGAGGAGAATGGAGAAGGTATTGTGGTGTGGCCATTGCCCCTGGGGGGTGATTTCTCATTTTGTGTCTCTCTGTCTCTGTCTTTCTGGTGAGCGCACACACTCTACACCTCTCCCCCCAAAAAAGAAAGTCAACAGTTGATTACCTGAAAAGTAAGCCAATGAAAATACTAACATGGAGCCAGCAGGTGGTGTGGTGGTTTAGGCACTGAACATGCTCACATGGCTGACGATGGTTCTTGTCTCAGACCTGGTGGTGGCTTGCTTTCTCACCTTCCCTCTCTCTCTGTCTCTCTCTTGGGTCAAATTAAACAAATGAATATGTAATTATTAAATAATTTTTTAAAATAATGATATTAGCATATTGCTTGTTATGTGAAGGTAGAAACCAAAAGAACCTGGTGAGAGATTTGAAAGTGAATGCCTCTGAGGCACAGAAAAGGATGGATGGGACAAAGGTGGTTTTTTTTTTTTTAAGACTTCAGAACTCGGGACCAACAGTTAGCGTAATGGTTATGTCGCTGGACTCCCACGTAGTCGACCGCGGTTCGAGTCCCGGACCCGGTGGCTTAAACTCACACCAGGCATGTGTGCATGCGTGCTCAAGATCCCGAGAAGAGAACGGGGGAGAAGAGATTGCGGCGTGGCCATCCCCCCTGGGGGGGGTGATTTCTCGCTTTCTGTCTCTCTGTCTCTCTGTCTGATGAGCACACGCACCCTATAGCAAAAACCTCTTCAAAAAAAAAAAAAAGACTTCAGAACTCTGTGACTTAAAAACATACACATAACTTTAATATGATCAAAATATAACACTATATAGGAAAAGTATGCTTTAAACATAAGCAGCAGCAGAGAACATCCTTTTATACTTTACTATGCTCACATAAAAGTACCTTGCAGATTACATCTTACCAGCAACACAGAGACACCCCACTGTTTCATTTATGTACTCTTTCCTTGAATACCTGCACTTGTTGACCTGAAAACTGTTGAGACATGTGTACTGGAATATTGTAATCCCAGAAGTAAAATCCTAGGTCGAAATTTTGAGATGCTGCTGCATTCGCCCTCCAAGACTTTGCCCTTAAACTTGGAGCCTCCCCAGAAATGTCTGAGAGCACTAAATCGCCCCCAAACTCACGCACCCTGTGTGCTGCAGAAGGACTGTCTCTGCGCAAGGGTGGGGCCCGGCCCCCTCTGTGCAGCGCCTACGTGCTGCGCTGTGGCTTCATTCCACAGTTCGCTTTAAAGAATGATTTAATGTTACACAGTTATTATTACTATTTTTAGAATTTGCTATAGAGCACATATGTTCATGAGAAAGAGAGAGAGAGAGAGAGAGAGAGAGAGAGAGAGAGGAAGCCGCCAGGTCTGGAACTCAAATTACGGTTGGCCAGTGGGCATCCAGCACCTTAATCTTCTTTCTTGAGAACACCAGCCCGCAACCTGCTGGTACCCAATACTTCTTCATGACTCAGAACTTTAATTATGCTCATAAAGTATTATACAACATATTTCTAGATCTTAGGGAAGTGAAAGCACTATGCTTTTTAAAAGTGCTCATTTATAGGCCGGTGAGTGGCGTGACTGTTCAGGTACTGGAGCCCATGTGGCTGACTTCACTGTTCGAGTCCTAGACCTGGTGCCTTGAAATACAGGCCGAGCGCGTGGGCACAGAGACCCACAGTCCTGAGAGAAGTGAGGAGAAGGGATTGTGGCATGGCATCCCCTTTGGGGGTGATCTCTCTTTCTCTTTTTCTTTCTCCAGCGAGTGCATGTACCTTATGGGAAAAAAATCTTAAAGAGAAAGTACTAATTTACTATATAGCTAGAGGAAACTGAGTAATAACTCAGGTACTTTGAAACCACTAGATTTCTAAGTGTTGTTTTAGTAAGACAACGCCTATAAAATATGAACTTAGTAAAATATGCTGCCATAGTTTGGTTTAAGTATTTTAAGTTGTTTAAGCAATTATTTCCATGATGCAAAATTGATACTTCATTAAATGATATGTAAACTTTCCAGTGACAGTGACCATAGTTCTGTGTAGGAATTACCTTAACATTTTTTTTTTTTTTCCAGTAGGGCGCATGCACTCACCAGGGAAACACACACTGAGAAAGTGACAGAGAGAAGAGAGACAAAGACGGAGACAGAGAAAGCAAGCACAAAAGCACCCCCAGGTGGGATGGCCATGTCAGTTTCTTCTCCTTCGTTCTCCTCTCAGTATTTGGGGCACACACTACACCAGCTTGCAGTGTTTTTCCAGCTACTGGATCCAGGACTTGAACCATGCAGTTGGCCATGTAGTGTCTTGCTGCCTTAAGCACTGGTTGGGTCCAGTGCAAGAACTTCTCTAATACTTTGAGAAACTTCATTGCACTGTGATTTACTTACACAAAGATGTAGATGAGATCAATTTCATTGGCATGTAAGTGCCACAGAAGAAAACATAAAAGTACTAGAAGTTTGGTAACTTACCAAGATTTCCAAAGTTTGGGGGTGATTTTTCAGAAAATAAAAGCAAAGTACTATGTTTCTTGACTCAATGACAGGTATATTTATTTTAAGATAATAAGAATATAAGAAGGATTTCTGTACAGTGATAATTTACAATAACAGTAACTTAAAACCTAAGTTCAATGAATTTCCTATTATGACATGATTTGTTGAAGTACCATAAACGATTCATCACATACATTTTTGGTAAAAGTATTATCCTAAACTTTTATGTATCATTTAATCTTTCTAAAGAACAGTTTTTATAAGGAAATACTGAATACTTAAATTATTTCCAAGGTATTTAAGTATTTCTAAATTGATATTATCAACAATTTAGTGAGATATTTTTACTTCTCATTCCATAAATGATAAAGTTCTAAGTGATAACACAGAGAATCATTGTAATTCACTACTCTGCTTCCCACTGTACTTGATTAGAATATTTTATTTATTTTAATGTTTCCTTAGAAATTAGTTCTCCATGTGAAAAGCCTGCAGAACATTACCCAGGTATTTATCTGCACACTGATAAGCACTAAAGAGTGAGGACTGCCCATGCGGTACGGCGTCCTTCCCAGGGACAGTGGCAGGATTAGAAAGGGTTTTCATGGGCTAACTCAATTTTTAGTCTATATTTATAGGAGCTTTCATGTATACAAGAGTATCATTTGTAGTCAAAGACTAAAGTAAATTGCAATTTTCAATAATTTTAGAAATCAAACTATACTTAGAACATTCTGTGAAAGGTGAGATAGATCTGGGTTATGTCAAATGAGTTAGTTGATGGGCATTTTAATTTCATCAACGGAATCAACCTTTGGAGCAGATGAAATTAAATTATACTATAGAGGACTTTAAAATTTATGAATCATGTATTTCTACATTAGTACAATAAATAATATTGGATAAACAATATAAAAAGTCTAACAAATACAAAACCAATGCTAATAATGTTTTCTTAGAAATAACATTACTTTTATAAATAAGCTGATGTAGATCAATTTCACATTTAATAAACTGATAAAAAACAAAGTCAGTGTTTCCTATTTTCATATGGAAAAGCAAGGTAATAGTTGGAGTGTGTGCAACCTAGATTAAATATGTCTTAGGAAGATAAATGGACTAATTTTCCACATGCAACATACAAATATATTAATTTAAATTAATTATTCTAGCTTTGTACAGTATTTTGTATAAACTAAATGTTTTTAATTGAACAATACCTATTTCTCCATGGGAAAATTTAATTTTTCATTTGTCAACAAAAAGTTTTTATTTTCCTTTTTAAAACCTATTATTTTGAAATAATGAATTATACTTAAATTACTTATTATGACTGGTTGTTTTGCATGTGGTCCTTTTGCAAGAAACAATGTTAGTTTCCACCTAATTTGTGTGTGTGTGTGTGTGTGTGTGTGTGTGTGTGTGTGTGTGTGAAGTCTCCCAAACCACTGCATGGTAGTTTCTATTACCACTCATTCGACATGACGACACACCTCAGTGACACAGGGAGGTGCGGAGGTGTACAGTGTTACTCCTAGACAGCTGTCGCATATTAGCTACCTGCGGTCACAAGCAGCACTGTGTTTAAGACAACCATGATAACAAAGTGACTATTTTTCCAGCTACCACTTCTGCCACCAATACACGACTATTTTTTACTTTTTGAGAAAAAACATCTACATTTTTTAAGAGTATAAACACGAAAGAATACCAGACATTCTGCTGACTTTGGTAACTGAACAAAAAATAAAACTTCACACAAGTTCAACAATATGTCAATTAAGTACTTTTAAAAGTTAAAAGTACAATGTAAACCATTGTTTTATATAGTAGCTTAACTTCTACTTGTTTTTCAAAATTATTTCAATGTAAATAAAACCTGATAAATAGCAGGGACTTAGGAACAATTCTAAGGGTTCTAAGATATCTTACACAATATTTATTTTTTGAAAACAAATTCACAGTCCAAAGTCAAAGAAAATGTATTGTTCGTTTCTAGGTGAGCTACGTTCCAAGAGTCATAAATTATTTTAAAATGAGGAAAATTTCTAACAAATAAATAAAAAATACTTAAAATACATTCTTGTAGAGTCATGAGAAGTATCTATGTATTAATACTTCTTTAGGGAATGAAAAAGTGCAGAGTTCTGTAAATCGAGGCAAGAAGTCAACTGGATTAATTTAACAACTGCATAAAGAGATACATTTTATCTGTTTTATACTTAAGAATTCAGTTAAAGAAAAATTATAAATTTCATAGCATTTCACTTTTCCTTCATTTTCTGCATATTCTGATCTGAGTCCTGCTTCCACGCTGAAAGGGTTGCTTCTTGCGTTTTTCATGTAGATAGTAATCCGTTAAGCTTTGGTTTAGCAGTTTCTAATTTAAAAAAGCACAACAATAACACAAAAGCCATATTTACTTAATATGTCATTCAGAGATAATGGCATTAATCAAATACTCTTACGATGATGACAGGAAACCGTAAGGCACCCAGTAAAGAGAGTCCACATTAAATTCACAAAACAAGACGTAAAATAATCCCAAGACATTTCCTGAAACTAAAAGCTCAGTGTTTGTTTAGCAGCCCGTCTAACCCTCAGGTCTAGGAAAAGGTCGGGATTTGCAGCTACCGTTCTGTGTCATCACACAGACAACGGTGCCACTGTGCTACCTCATTTTTTTTTTTTTAGATTTATTTACTTATTTCCATTTATTGTTATTATTTTTAAATTTTTGACCAGACAGAGACAAGAGAGAGAGAAAGGGAAAGCTAGAAAAGCCAACCGCCACGTCCGGGACCATAATCATGGGCGGCCATGTGGGAATCCAGTGCCTTTAACCACCACGACGCCTGCCAGCCTGGTATATATTATATGTGTGTGTGTGTGTGTGTGTGTGTGTGTGTGTGTGTGTACAGCACCACACGGATTCTCTGTCTCATGGCCTTAGCAGGTAGGCTGCTTCAGAATTTGGCTCGAACCATGCCACTTTCTCCATGGGCACGAGTAACCTTTCTCCAGATTACTCTGGTTTATCTGCTTTGCCACCCGGAGTCCATGTGTTTTTGCTTTGTACACATAAGCACACCTCTTGCTTACTTAGAATTCCGTTTCATCTCAGGGGTAAACACCTTCAGTTTTAAGAAGAGCTGTGTGCTCCCTTTGGTTCCTGAGACCCCACTGACAGCCAGCAAGAATGGCCGTGGCCCACAGCCTTCCAGACAGAGTCCTGCTCCCAGCCGGCCTGGGTTACCTGTCTCCAAAGTTCAGCGGCAGCATCCTCACTCCCTCACTGTGACACTTTGACATACCGGTCAAGAACACCACCACTCGTGTGGATGTATAAATGAGAGGGTCTGTCTGTCTTTTTAAAAAAATTTTTAATGTTTACCTTAAGTTCTTCGTAGTATAAGGTTCTTTAATTAGTGATTAAAAAGATCTGACTTTGTGAGCTCAATCACAGCATTTCATGACCTTAGATAAATAATTAAACCTACTTGCCTCTAAATGTTTTAGACCGATTATTTTCCAACCTGGGTTCTTTAAAAAACTAGCTCTCAAAGCTTCTACATAAAATGCTGAATATCGATTTCCTTTCAGAAAGACAAAACGAACAGTAGCACATTAAGATCTGATACATCCTGTGCGGAAGTAACCTCCTTAACTGCTTATTATATCCCTCAAACTTGGATAAGCAACTTTCTTTTAAAAAAGAAAATGACATTTACACGAATATACTTGTAAGCATTTATAAACAAAGAGCCAAACCTCCATTGCAGATAATCTAAGCAGCTTCCACAGTTGATGAAAATTTTATAGCTTATGGTTGACTTAAAAAAAAAAAGAAAGAAAGAAAGAAAAGAAAATCAAGCCCTTCATTCTGGAGACTAGCCACCAGTTAGAGGTGTTGCTTTGAGTCCATGCAAACAGAATGAGTCTCCTTCTATCCCTCAGCTATTGCATTCTAAGCAGCTACTGCAGTAAACAGTAAAAAGATGGGTTGCCACCAGACTCAACGAGGCTAAAATCCTGGTTTGCCACTTACTAGCGTGTTAACTGAGCAGTTTACTCCATGAAATGATTTTTTTCCTGCTGTTAAACAGAGTATCTACCTTTGATCATTAAATGAGATGTATGGTACAAATATAAAGCCAGGAGCCTAAAATAACTATATTACTATTGGCTGCTATTTTTGTAACAAGATTAGCTGCAATTTTTATAATAAATGTTTAGAATCATGTTCCTAAAAAATAGTAACAAATATTCCTTAGGTGCTAATAATTGTGGATGATGAAAGCCCAACTTGGATTCATCCTACTATATCTGCCCAGGTATAAAACTACAGGTTTAACATAAAATTTTCCAATCAAGACATTCTGATGGCCTAAAAATTAAAAATCCTACTTCTATTTCTTTTAGCTATTTTGTAAATGTTATGACAATAAATTATTGTTATCGAACAGATTTAAAGAAACGGAGGCCAACGTACCTATCTGCTATGAAGTTCCTTCTTGAGACAGGATTTGAAAGTGGGATACTTCTGGACTGTTTTATAACCCTGTGGAACAGAGGTCCAAAAGTGTGCAAATGTACATAAAGATAAATTCAGCATGATTTCACTTACATGTGAAATTAAAAAAATAATCAGGCCAGCTGCAGAGGCACAGTGTAACACGATGCTACCCGATGCTGAACTGCACAAGAAGGCCCTGGATTCCTGTTCTGTGAACACTGATGTGCATGATCCTGCTAGCTGAGGTCAGGAGTAGGCTGCAGTGTGAAGACCCAGGTCCTGCTGGGGGTGTCCTCTCTATGGTCTCTTTCTCTCATGGGAGAACTAATCAAACTTAAAAACAAAACAAACAATGTAGAAAAACAACTCAGATGCTGGCAGGTGGCATGGTGGTTAAGGACTGGACTTCCACATGGCCGACCATTGTTCAAGTCTTGGACCTGGCAGCTGGGAAATCACACTGGGTGTGAATAGGTGCCTGCCCAAAATCCCAAGAGGAGAATGGAGGAAAAAGGATTGTGGCATGGTTGGTTTCCTGGAGGGTGATCTCTCACTTTACCTCTCTTTTTCTCTCTGGCAAATGCAAATGCCCTATGACAAAAATCTACAAAAACAAGCAAGCAAAAACAAAACAAACCTGCAGAAGTACAGAGTGGGATGGTGGTTACCTGAGGCTAGGAGGGTGGGGGCTTAGGAAAGGGGGAAAGTTAACCGATAGAGTTTGGTAAAACAGAGGAAAAAGTTTTCAAGATCTACCGCATAGCAAGGTGACCATAGTTGATCATCATGTATAACGTATTTCAAATTTGCTATAAAAAAAGATATAAAATGTTTCACTACCAAAAAAACTATGTGGGATGATGGATATGCAAATTATCTTAATATAATCATTCCACAATGAATACATATGAAAACATTACACTGTATACCACAAATGTATGCAATTGCTATTTATTTATTTATTCATTTATTTCCGCTAGGGTGCGTGTGCTCGCCAGACAGGCAGAGAGAAACACAGAGACAGAGAGTGAGAAATCACCCCCCAGGGGGGATGGCCACGCTGCAACCCCTTCTCCTCCATTCTCCTCTCGGGATCTTGGGCATGCATGCACATGTGCCCAGCGTGAGTTTTAAGCCACTGGGGCCAGGACACGAACCACGGTCGACTACGTGGGAGTCCAGTGACATAGCCATTACGCTAACTGCTGGTTCCCACAATTGCTATTTATTAATTAAAAATAAAACGTGGACAGCTGTGGTCTGGTGGCTAAGGTAGCTGGATGACAAGTGGCCAGTCACGTGGTTGGAGTACTGTACTCAGCAGCTTGAAAAACACACTGGGCATGTGTGCGTGACTGAAATCTTGGAAGGAGGGAGGAGTGGAAGAGGGGGCTGTGACGTGACGATACCCCAAGGGGGGTGCTTTCTCACTCTCCACCTCCCTTGTGAGCATATGCACTCTCAGGCAAAATTAAAAAAATAAAACTGTTTTTAGGTGTGCAAATATAAATAAAACGTTATGGGGACTATAGGTGTGCAAAAATACTCTTCCTCTTTCCCCCTTTTTTGCTAGAGTGTGCATGTGTTTGTCAGAGACAGACGAATGGACGGAGAGGGAGGATGCCTCCTCCACAGAGCATGGCCGCGCTGCAAGCCTATCTCCACTTCTCCACCCTACCGGGACTCTGGCACACACATGTAGATACTCAGAGTGTTTCTTCAAGCCGCCAGGGCGGGGGTTCCAATCGTGAAGTCAGCCCTGTAGGGTTCAACTCCTTCAGTCACCAGGGCGGAAGGTTGGCCGAATAAATAAATAAATAAATAAAAATAAAAACATAACAGTTATAGGTGAAATGCAGTTTCAAAGATTTATAGCATAATTCGTATTTCATTTGCTCTTGCTAATCTGAAATTGAAAAAAACCAATTTTTTTTTTAAAGAGAGTTTTCTTTGCTATTGGGCACATGTGCTCACCGGAGAGAGACAGAAAACGAGAAATCACCCCCTGGGTGGGGGTCTGGCCACACGACAATCCCTTCTCCAGTCTCCCCTCAGGGTTTTGGGCACACAGGCATGCACACCCAGTGTGAGTTTCAAGCCGCTGAGTCCTCCATGAACCATGGTCAACCATGTTCAGTAATGTAAACAAAAATGAAGCCATCTGCTGGTCCCAAAAAACTTTTCATTTTTGGTAGATGTTTTTGTTATAGGGTGCGTGTGCTCGCCAGAAAGAGAGACAGAAACGGAGAAAAAACTCCTCAGAGGGGATGGCCATGCCACAATCCCTTCATCTCCATTCCCCTCTTAGGACCTTGGGCACGCACGCACATGCACCTGGCGTGAGATTAAGCTACTGGATCTGGAACTCAAACCGTGGTCAACTATATGGGAGTCCAGTGACACAGCCATTACGCCAACTGCTGGTCTCCCAAAAGAACAATTTTTAAAAATTTATTTTCTGAGAATGAAAGAGAGAGAGAGGGGAGCAACTTCAAAGTCCTCTTCCCGTTCTGCAGCCAGCCAGGACCACGGGTGCAGCCACGGGAGACAGAGTCAGGGAGCTGACCCAAAGCCCCCCACACGTCCCCAGTACTTCACGGCAGTGCCCCAGTTCTGGGCCCCAGTGCTGGGCCTGTTCCAGAATTTTTGAAGAAAAAGAAATAAAATAATATTCATTCTGGTCTTTCAAGTATTTGCGGTATCGAAAATGTTAGCAACTAACCACTAGGTGGCGGTTAAGTACACAGCATCTTCACCAAGATAGCTTGTTTTTAAAGTCATTAATCATTTTAAAACATTGTTTAGGATAAACCTTGAATTTCTTTTTGTATAAATAATTTTTGATCTTTTTAAATATATACTTCTCAGAGATATTCTTGCCAAAGAAAGAAAGCTGAATATTCTAGTTGCTGATTTTAATAATAATTCTTTTTCTTTTTCCATTTGTAGACCATCCACAAGTATGTTAGATCACAAACATTTATTGATTCACATTATATTTAAATATTTAAAGCATGGTTCTTGGGAAAAAACTTATTACATTTTTAGCAATTACCTTTAAGTATAAGATATCAGAAAAACAGTTCGACAGAAAAATAATTTACTTTTCAAATAAGAAGTACTGAGTTTGTAGTTTTTTTATTTTTTATTTTTGGAGAGGTTTTCGCCATAGGGCGCATGCGCTCGCCAGACAGAGAGAGACAGAGAGACAGAAAGCGAGAAATCACCCCCCAGGGGGGATGGCCACGCCGCAATCCCTTCTCCTCCATTCTCCTCTCGGGATCTTGGGCACGCATGCATATGCGCCCGGCGTGAGTTTTAAGCCACCGGGTTCGGGACGTGAACCGCGGTCGACTACGTGGGAGTCCAGCGACATAGCCATTACGCTAACTGCTGGTCCCAGTTTGTAATGTTTTAAGAGACTCAAATTGTCCAGGAAATTTATCTGATTTAAAAGGGTAAGTGTGATATTTCTTCATATCCTGACAAGTATGAGAAGCCCAATGTGCAGACTAAATTTTCCAAATATATTTGGAAATATTTTTCCATGAAGTAGGATAAAGACATTAATTGAATGTGAAGGTAAACTATTAAATATTTTATATATTTTTCAAAAGCATTATTTTTTATCACTTCAGATTATTTTTGAAAGTAGGTACAGTCTGTATTGTTTCTTTCAAATAAAACAAGTTTATAGCATTACTATTTCATATAAATTGTTTTTGAACTTGATAAATGTGTTTCCTTACAATTTAAAAAAAGCTATAAATAGACTTAGAATTTATAGGTTTACCCGAAATCCTCTATGGAGTCTGTCTTTCATGATTCCAATAAATTCTTTGTAACTTAATTGGTCATCTTTATCCACGTCAAAAATCTTGAAGACAGTGTTTACTAAATGAGGTGAAAGTTTGAGTCCAGTAGCTACATAGACAGCACGTTTAAATTCATCTGGATAAATGTCACATGGAAAGAAAAGACTGTTAACATTATTCTTACAATATCTGTTAATTACTAGAAACGTTGTAAAAAAGGAGCTATTTCTAAAGGTGGGTCATGTAACACCTAATTTTCTGTTAATTATGCTGTCTTTTAAGGAATAAAAGTTCTTTTTGTGTCTTTTTAATGAAGAGTCAAGAAGCAGTTGTATTAATATAATCAACGGATGTTTAATGAGCACCACTATCAGTAACAAGACACGTTAGAGGTCAAGAAATGCTCAAAAACTTATAGTTCCGACAGGAGACGGGACACCTGTCCCAAACCACTGCACAGGGCCACACGGGACCAACAGGTGCGCCTACGGTGCAGCAATGACAAGTGCCTGCGAGGCTGGAAGCCACGTGGCGACTGCAAACGCAGACGCCCAGGTCAGCAGAGAAACACCCCCGCCATGCGCGCAGGTGGGTGCCAGGATCCTGAGGCGCTGAAGAGCTGGGAAGAGGGCTGTGAATGACGAGAGCTTGTGAGGACGCTTTCCTCTCCTTCGTACACACACGTACCTGCGCTATCAACACTGTGTAAAACCAAAACAGAACCGAGGAAATGTTACGGGAATCCGAAGGTGAGCGACTACGTCTGTCTGTAGTGTCCCTTCAGGAGAAGGGCCAGGAGGGCCAGGAAAGGCTGTCATGCATCCTAGCTGAGCCCTTCAGGATAAGCTAGTTGGTGTTGAAGAAGTAACAAATGGCAGAGGAGATGACAAGAATGAGGGATGAGTGGCGTGGAGGGAGCCAGGAGAGCAGGAATCATGTTCAGAAGACAAGGAGCATCCCCGTTTCTGTGGAGCACGGGACACACGGGATCTGGAGAAGCTCTGCTCAGGGACTCTGTGTAGGGAGGAGCCTGCACGTTCTTCACCAGGGAACAGGGAAGCCTTCAGGACCCCCATGGCAGGCACGCTGTACAAAGGTGAGGCTGTGTTTTACCAAGATTGGTCCATGAGCTGTCTAGGAAACTGGAGAGCAAAGTAGCTAACGGTAAGAATGCCAGTTAAGTGGCCGCTGAACTCGTGCTTTTGAGAGGTGATAACCTCAATTAAGATATTAGCAGCTGCAAGAGGGATGGACTCCCAGCACCTGCAGAAGTGACACGATTAAGTTTTTCATTCCCTAGTTCCACAGAATGCAATTTTTCATTTGAAGTAAGTAAACAGACACTAATTTTGTTAGTTTATTTCCTTTTCTTTTTCCTTTTATGAGGTAGGTGGGGAGAGTCAGACAGGAAGAGGGCGAGCACCATCCATAGGTTCTTATGCCATGACGTCCTCCCACCCAGCCTTCCGGCCAGCCAGGGCCGTGGCGTGCACCCCCTGGCATGTACGATTTGATCCAGATGCTGCACCTGACCTTCTGCACCTCCAGGAACAGAGTGGTGCACGACCACCATGTGCCAAGGCTAGGGCTGTGTTTTTTTTTTTTTTCCTTAAAGTTGGCTAGGTTTACCATGGTATAAAGGCTGACTGGTGAAGACTAGGAAAAAAATGAAACAGAACTTTTTCCAGGTTTCTCTCAATAGAGAAATGAACAGGGCCACATAATGGATTCAATACCTATGTTCTGTGGAGAGAGATAATTATCCGTAGCATTTATGGGCTGGATTTTGGCTTCTCTCTATAACTTGACAGTGAGAAAACCAAGACTGTCCTCTGGGATTTAAGCTTGGGGACTAACACACATTTTATCATGGCAGAGATGGGTAGAAGTCACCTTAAAGACAAACAGAAAGTAGCAAGAATTTTAGAAAAGGATATGGAAATGAGGGGAAAGACAGTAGCCAGCGAATCCCAGGGGCAGGCCCTGGCATGCGAGCGCACCTCCAGGGAGAGTGAGCTGGTCCCAGGACCGCGGCACTGAACTCTCTGACAGCCACGTTTATCTGTAATTACAGTTTTAATTCTCCAAAGTTGCTTAATATATGGAAGTGTGTGGCTGAGGTGGCTGGGCTGACCAAATTCCAGTTTCTGGGCCAGCAAGGACACTATCAGTAAAACAAATTCCCTCCTAGGAGAAGGTCCGGGCGTGGCCAGCTGGCTCTCCTACAGGTTTGACACACACCCCTCGTCCTTACCACGTGGCTATGAGGTTTCTTCTGTGGACTTTTAAAAATATCAGCTTTCTCCATGATATAAAATTACGGGCAAAAATAAATCCAATATAAAAGCTAAGCACACTTCCATAAACTCTGCTTAGACTTTTAAGTGTCTGAACAAATTTCTCACTAGAAATCTTCCCATTAGAAATTTCAGGCAGATGGACGGGTGACACGACATATTTATTCTGTGCCAAAGTCTCTAGAAACAATGTGGGATGACTTTTGCCTTTAATATTTGAAAGATGACTACTTACCTTGACCTATAGAACGACTTGCGAAGTTGTACATGTTCAGGGCTATTGCAAAGTCTTCCAGGTTGTTCAGAAATTGGAAAAACGACCTGAACTCATCAAATGTGATGCCCTACATGGGGAAAATAAATGTAAATATATTTAGTATCGCCAAATTTATTCAAAGAAGTATACACATTTTGTAGAGCAAACAGATTAAGCATCTGCAATATACCTCGTAAGTAAATATTTCCAGGACACATTCTGAAACCTTTCTCCAAATGGGAAGTAAAATTCATTTGAACTTATTTCTAATAGTTGGATAGCCTTGCTGCCATTAAAATAATACGTGAAAAGGGTTTTTAAACTCTATTGTATCAGCACAGAGTTTCTAAAATATGCCACGATAAAAATGAATGAAAAAGTTTTAATTCTGGGGCTGGCAGGTTGGCGTGGTGGTTAAGGGCACTGGACTCCCACATGGCTGGCTGTGGTTCAAGTTCTGGACCTGGCAAGCTTGTTTTCGCTCCCCTTTACTCTGTCCCTTTCTGGTCAAATTAAAAATAAATAAATAAAATTAAATAATTCTTTTTTTTTTAAGTTTTGATTTTGAAAACCCTATATTAGGCCTGATTGGTTTTAATCCTGCAAGAGGATGACTGAAAACCTATCAGAAGTGGCCCCCACACATGTACTCTTTAAATGATCCGGCACCCAATCACCGCCGTCTTTATGAAAACGCAAAACCACCATGCCGACGTACATCGAGGGTCCTGTCAGTGTCTCGTTCCTGTCCTGATGAAGCGGCCGGGACCCAAGGAGAAGTACTCTGAGCACCCAGGGAGGCTGGAGGCCCACACGGGTGCCGTGGGGGTGGACAGAGACGGGTACCGAGAACGGCCTCTTTGGTAATGGCCTACGCATAAACGACGCGACCACGTTGGCTGTCATTTCCAGTAAATAGCAGTTACGGGAAATAAAACGACGTCATCTCGGAGAACACGCATTTGGGTAGGAGCTCATTTAGAGGCAAGGAAATTAATGTAATGATGAAAGCACCCAGGGTAACGAGCTAAGGGCCGGGAGCCGGGCTGGAAGACGGGGCTAGAATAGGAAGGGGTGCTGGGGGGGCCAGTGTCGGGAAGCAGAGAACGGACCCCACAGGAGCCCATCCTGTCGGCCAGCTACCGATGGCATGACTTGGGGCCACAATACCCAGCTTTCCGCACCCAGTATTTCCACTTCAGTGACAGCCGCCCTTCCACTCGCTACATGAGTATCCGCCTGCCCTTCCTTCCCATCCATCACGGCCTCTCCAGTCCTGCTCCTGCTTTGTGACCAGTCCCACCGCCTTCCAGTTCTAGAAAGGGCCGTTCAAATGACTGGGCTGTTGGAAGTCATGAGGAACTTTCGCATGTTTTTCTATGCCAAAAGGTGTCATGACTTTTCATACGACCCAACAGTTGGGGAGATGGTACCGGCAGGGCCCAGGGTGAGGTGGAGAGCCGTTGCCAGGAGGCTGGCGCCTGGTTCAAGGTGCTCCAGTTTTCACTGCGGCCAGATCTGTAGGAACGGCCGTCTCGGGCCATGTGTTAACTGCTGGTAGAAGTGAAAGACGGGAAGAAGGGATAGTTTTTTTCCTTTTTTTTTTGGAGAGGTTTTCGCTATAGGGCGCGTGCGCTCGCCAGACAGACAGAGACACAGAGACAGAAAGCGAGAAATCACCCCCCAGGCGGGATGGCCACGCCGCAATCCCTTCTCCTCCATTCTCCTCTCGGGATCTTGGGCATGCACGCACACGCGCCCAGTGTGAGTTTTAAGCCACCAGGTCCGGGATGCGAACCGCGGTCGACTACGTGGGAGTCCAGCGACATAGTCATTAAGCTAACTGCTGGTTCCCAAGAAGGGATAGTTTTAAGCAAAGAATAAGCAATATCTGTGCTTTTGGGAGGTGTGAAATTAAAAATTTGAAGAATGATAGAATATAATGTTCAACATCTGAACCTTTAGATTTTTCAAAACATGGTTCTCATGTTTGAAAAGGCAATGCAAATTCAAAACCACATAATAATTCTTTTGTATAGATGAAATAAACATCATGTCTTGGGAAAAATGAAACTGCAAAATGAAATTTGAGATATTTATTTTAGAAAGTTTATTTATTTATTTATTTATTTTGGCTATAGGGTAAATGCGCTTCCCAGAGAGATGGAGAGACAGAAAGTGAGAACTTGCCCCCTAGGGGGGATGGCCACACTGCAATCCCTTCTCCTCAGGAGTTTGGGCCTCTTTTAATGTGAAGCTAATTGGAGTCTATTCTGGAATGTAGTCAGGATGCTCGTTGGGAAAACGAATCAGACTATATCTGGCAGATGGATCAGACCTCGTCTGGATATCAAGGCAGTCAATGCTAATTCGATAAACACTTGCTGAATAAATGAACATCATGCTGATGCTCCAAGGCAAGGCTGGCAAACTTTTTCTGTGAAGGCCAGAGAGTATTTTCATTTTTGCTGGCTATATAGTCACCATGGCAACTATTCAACTTTACCAATCTGGTGGAAAAGCAGCTGAAAAAATACATGAAATGAATCAGTGTGGTTATGTCCAAATAAAACTTTATTTATAAAAAAACAAGAGAAGGGCTAGTTTATTCCTTCCTGCTTTTAAGTTCAAAAACTATAGAGGCATCTTGTTACTCTCAGAGTCATAGTAGGATACAATCTAAATTCCTCGCTCTGTCCTGTAAGGTTCTAAAAGACCTGTTCTCTCTCTCTCCTTCCTCATCTGTGATGCCTGTGTTCTCTTACTTTGCCTCTTGGCATTTTCTCAACTAAGCTCAACCTTTTTCTGTCCCAAGCCCTCAGCATTGCTGCAACCCTCCCTGGAAGGCTCTTACCTCCAGATCTTTGCCTCGTTCATTCCCCCAAGGCTTCTCTACAAAAGCCACCTCTTCGGAAAGGCTCTCCCTGACAGGGTTCCTTCTTTTCCAGTCCCCACGATTCTTGGTTGCATTCATAACATTTATCATTACATAAACATTTATCATGCTTTGTTTACTCATTGGTCTCTCCACTAACATGTACTAACATTTCCGGGAAAGAAAGAGTTTGCTTATTTATCCCCAGCGGCTATAATGAAGCCTAGCAAACACTGGGTGCTTAATAAATAAATATCTGCTAAGTGAGGAAATGAAAATAAAAGTATTTTAGAAATATAGAGTGCTATTCCACAGCAGTTATTGTTACTCTTTTGGAGAGCAGGGAGACTAGCAACTGAGAAAGGGGAAAGTATAAGCAGGGTGTCATAAGATACCATTGGTTTAGAAAGCCTTTGGTTCAAATCCTTGGGCAAGTACCTGAAAGCTTCATTTTCCCTTTTACTTTAGGGTTTTGCTTTTTTTTTTTTTTTTTGCCATAGAGTGTGTGTGGTTGCTGGAAAAGGCAGAGAGAAGGAAAGTGAGAAATCACCCGCCATGGGGGATGGCCACACCGCAATCCCTTTTCCTCCACTCTCTTGGGATTTGAGTCAGGCAGACACAAGCACCTGGTGTGATTTTCAAGCCACTGGGTCAAGGACTTGAACCACAGTCAACCATGTGGGACTCTAGCACCTTAACCATACCACCTGCTGGTCGCCATCTTCCCTTTTTCTAACAGAAAGAGGTTTTAAAAAAAGTCAATACCTTGAAGCTTGTTCTGAGATTGATGAAAACAGAAAAATGAAGATGACAAACAGTGAGAATCAATTAATACTGATTCACTTGTAAAATTTTTCTTTTCTACTAAGTAGGTTACAGTACTTTTGCCAATTAGAAGATTTCAAAAGCTAAATTTAACTTCTAAAGTGATTTATATTTTGAAATCATTTTAGATAAAAAAAAAAAAGGTGTAAAAACAGTGAAAAGAGTTCTTATAAACTTTTTGTCCTAGTATAACCTTAAAAGTTCCAAATTTTGGTAAGTTTCCACTTAGCGAGAAAAAAAAAATCTGATTCAAGGTTGTAAAAAAATACTCTAGTAACATGATAAAGTAGAATTCCCCAAGTTTATTTTTGGGGAAGTATGTATGAATTGGAAAAGGTCAATTGAACATGGAACACAGATGAGAGTCCTCTGGCTAAGAGGTGATGGAAACTAACGGCCAAATGCACTGAGTCCTTCCCCCGCCCCCTTGCTCAGGGGAAATGGAGAACTGTCAGCACTGTCCCATCGCAGTGTATCCATCCTGAACAAGCTCAAACTATTTGCACGTTTTTCTTTGCAGAGTAACCTGATCCTTCTATAAACACAAACAGAAGGCAATATGCCCCAAACACCCCATGCTTGAAGGGGGACTGGTATCACCAGTACTATTTGTTTGCAACGATGCGTCCACATGCCACTAGATAATGCGACGGCTCAGAAGGGCTGACAACGCGTTTGTTACCCAACAATCGGTGGTCCCAGTTCTTAACCATTGATGGCACCCAAACTCTTTGAAATACCCTCAGCTCAGCCGCTGATAAGATCACTCACTCATCAGTGGCAGTCTTCAAATGGCCTTCCATCAAGGGTGTTATGGAAAGGAATCCGTGTGACAGAAATGAGTCAACACCAACTGTTTTATATGAGGTGATGTTTCTACAGAAGTCCAGCTCTACAGCTCAGAATTCTCTTGAAAAATTATATTCTCAGTTTGAATAAAACAATTGGTAATAGCCTTCAAGGTTTTTAGCATACCTAAAGAAAATATGGTTGTCTACCTAGAATTTAAAATTATTTTTTTCTTTTTGTAGAGAGATTTTTGCTATAGGGTGTGTGCACTCGGAGAGACAGACAGAAAGCGAGAAATCATCCCCAGGGAGGATGGCCACGCCGCAATCCCTTCTCCCCCATTCTCCTCTCAGGATCTTGGGTACACATGCACACATGCTCAGCATGAGTTTTAAGCCACCAGGTCTGGGACTTGAACCATGGTTAACTATGTGGGAGCACAGTAAAGTAACCATTACATCATCTGCTGGTCCAAAATGAATTAATTTTTAAATATTTAGCCAAAGTATTTTGGGTATAGGGAAAAAAGAATAAAAAATATCTAAAATATCTTGTAATACATGGAAGAGCAAAAGAATAAAAAAACAATGTATTTTATAGACCTACTTAACTATATTAACATTATAATGAAATAAATAGGGGGAATTACATACCTTTTCTTCGGGTATGCTATAACGTACATTTTCCAAAAATACTGACGTATTTTCCACATTTGTATAACGTAAAAGTATATGAGCAAAATCTTCTTCACTGATAGTATTCATCCCATTAGAGTAGGAAAGGAATTCTATTTCTAGAACTTCTGTTTGGAGGTTATCCATGAATCTATGACAAAAATATAATAAAGAATGAACAAGAAAAATGAAGAATAATGGTAACAGAAAATGACACATATTCACCGTCCTTGAAAGACTGTATGAAACTAATTTAATTATACAACGACATAAAGTTTTATGCAATTACTCTCTGCATACGGGGAAAAAATCCTGAGAGGCTTGACCACCTAACTGAAGCACCTGGGCACGGGCTGTGGGGTGTGTGGAATAAAGACCTCTCAGGGCTCTAGTTTCCTCACCTGTAAAATGAGAATAAAGAAAGTACCCGGCAGGCTAATAATGTGCTGAAATTGCGTGGGTTATTGAGATTAAGAGACCGGCAACAACGACACACTTTTTTTTTTTTACAATGGTCAGTAACTTCCTATTATAATTGCCGCTGTAACCACTCGTTTAAGGTACAATGGAAGTGCATATTTCTTAAACAATATTTTCCATTAAGGTGAAAGTGATAAAGAAGTGAGTACCACTACCCTGAGATGATTTCTTTTTTTTTTTTGAGAGGTTTCCGCTATAAGCAAGAAATCACCCCCCAGGGGGGATGGTCAGCTGCAATCCCTTCTTCTCCATTCTCCTCCCGGGATCTTGGGCACACATGCACATGCGCCCGGCGTGAGTTTAAGCCACTGGGTCTGGGACTCAAACCGCGGTCGACTCCATGGGAGTCCAGCAACATAGCCATTACGCTAACTGCTGGTCCCACCATGAGATGATTTCTAAGGACTCTTCTCATTTGGGCATGTAACAACTTTCAACAAAAATATAAAAATTATACTTACCTATAAAAATCTTCAAAGTTAAGTTCAGCTTTTCCTTTCTTTCCAAAAAAGTGTACAAGAAGTGTAGTATCCGTTACTAAACTTGTGATGTCATCAGCACGCTTTAAAAAAAAAATCTACACGTTAGCTGCAATGAAGAGAGAACAGAAATACCCACTCTCCTGCAAAGGATTTTTTTTAAAAATCAACATATACATATTGAGAATGGAAATACATTAACATTAGAATGAAAAGCAGAGGCTAACAATAAATGGGACTCTCATTAAAGCTCAAATTTTGAAAACAAACTTGAATGCAACTGATGTTTGTTTTCAAAATACAGCTATGTTTTTAGGTTTTTGCTATAGGGCATGTGCACTCTCCTGAGAGTCGGAGAGACAGAGAGAGGAAAAGTGAGAAATCACCCCTCATGGGATGGCCATGACGCGATCCCTTCTCCATTCTCCTCTTAGGATTCTGGGCACACACTCTTGGCACGATTTTCTAGCTGCCGGGCCCGAGACTTGAACCATGGTTGGCCATACAGGAGTCCAGCACCTTAACTAACACATGACCCGCTGATCCTTATTCTCAAATTAGTTTTGAGACTTTTTGACTTCAAGTTATGCCTGTAGATACTTTAACAAAAATATTTAAAATAAATGACTGATCACGTAAATGTTCCATTTTTATTTAAGTAATTCTTTTTGAATCTTCTTACTAAACCTGAGAAATCCAGCTTTCAGGTGTTCAGATGTACTGAATATATGGGGCTAACACAAGAATGGCCCCGAGCCTCCAAGCAGCTCCCTTTAACCATGGTATTTTCCTACATAGTAAGAATTTTATAATTATGATAGTTTAAACAATATTGTATTTTTAAACAGAAACAATTATATCATTTTTTTCCCAGAGAAAATGGGTAAGAAATTAATCCCAGAAGATGTTGCCTTCTCTACTAAACTTGATAAACAAACTTCCAACTAGTATATTCTTTTTTTTTTTTTGGGAGAGGTTTTCGCTATAGGGCACGTGTGCTCGCCAGACAGAGAGAGAGAGACATAGAGACAGAAAGCGAGAAATCACCCCCCGGGGGGGATGGTCACGCTGCAATCCCTTCTCCTCCATTCTCCTTTCGGGATCTTGGGCATGCACGTACACGTACCGGGCATGAGTTTTAAGGCACCGGGTCCGGGACGCGAACCGCGGTCGACTACGTGGGAGTCCAGGGACATAGCCATTACGCTAGCTGCTGGTTCCCTCAACTAGTATATTCTTAAAACTGCTTGATTAGGGTCCTCACAAAATGTAATGACCTAAGAAAAACTGCTTTCCTTTAATTTAACCTGATGGTCTACCTTTCCTCTCTTTTTGTTCTTTCTTTCTTCCCTCCTCACTTGGCCATTAACTCATACATACTCAATAAACTCAGGTATAAAAATCATAAAATTCAAATGACTGTAACTCTCCAATATACAAAGGGTCTTAAAAAGATAATAGAAAATGTGTATTATGAAAAACTCTGTACTAATTTTAATACCTTTTGCAACAGGGGACCAGCAGATGGTGTAATGGCTATGTTGCTGGACTCCCAAGTAATCAACCATGGTTTGAATCCTAGATCTGGAGGGCTCTACCTGGTTCAAGTCCCGGACCCGGTGGCTTAAACTCACGCCATGTGTGCCCAAGATCCTGAGAGGAGAATGGAGGAGAAGGAATTGCAGCATGGCCATCCCCTTAGGGGGTGATTTCTTGCTTTCTGTCTGCCTCTCTCTGTCTTTCCTGCAAGCGTACATGCCCTATAGCAAAAACTTGTCCAAAAATAATTTTTTTTTTGCAACAAAATTAACTCATACTTTCACTTCATTTTTCAGTGAACTTTAAAGTACTAGGAAATGTAAGAAAAGTTAAACAATTTTTTTTAGAGGTTTATGTCTTAGGGTATGTGTGCTCACTGAGGGGGAGAGAGAAAGAGAGACAGAGACAGAGAGAGAGGAAGTGAGAAATCACCCTCCAGGGGGGATGGCCATGCTACAATCCTCCTCCATTCTCCTCTTGGGATCTTGGGCATACACACATACACACACAAACACACACATGCCCGGTGTGATTTTGAAGCCGCCAGGTCTAGGACTTGAATAACAGTCAGTCAAGTGGGAGTATAGCAATGTAACCACTATGCCACTTGCCAGCCTCATTATTATTATTATTATTATTATTTTAATATTAAGAAAAACAGTTGGAGATGCCCAGTAAAGGGACATGGTTGAAAGGTGCTGCTCCTTGGCTGGAACCCTAACAGCACTCCACAAAGCGACACAGAGAACACCCCGTCTCTGCCAAGGACCAGCCTTCTCTGGCCCCTGACCAAATGCCTCGTTTTACCGCTCAACTTTGGTATTTCTTAGATTCTCCACAGCTCTCTTTCCAATCTTGCATGACAACAGCTATTTAACCCTTTATGACACTGGCTGACTCTTTCTTCCCTTTTTCTCTCACTGACGTAGAGTAACAGATCACGTGTGCCCTGCCCTCCGCTGTACCTTCTCTCAGCCCCGGGAGCACTTCTTCCAAAGGGATTTCTCTGCTCTTCTTGCTCATGTCTCTCTTAGAAACTCCAGCATACTATAAATGATCTAAAACTGTTGAACTTCAACAATCATCTAAATATTCTGTCTATATTTCTGTAATTTCGTTTGAATTGTCCCAATCAATCTCCAGCATTTAATTTTTTTCTAATTGGTTTAGAAGATCTCTACTACTGCCTCTCAGTTCAGTGTGCTGAGAAGTCCCAAGTATTCTCAGTAGGTAAAATGCCTGAAAAGTTCCTTATAACACTACCAACTTCTCTGCTAATCTGACAGCAGTCTGATCTGATTGCTAGGGGAAAGGTAATACAGCCCAGTGTCAAATACTATCTTTGTAAAAAAAAAAATTGATTTAACTTTATTATTATTGCTTTAAAACAAGATACAGGCACTCACCAGAGAGAAAGAGAGAAAGTGAAAAAGCAGGGGCCAGCAGATTATGTAGAGGTTACATTGCTGGACTCCCACATAGTAGACTGGGGTTTGAGTCCTGGACCCAGTGACTTAAAACTCATGCTGGGTGTGTGTGCATGCGTGCCCAAAATCCCAAGAGAATAGGGGAGAAGGAACTGGGGTGTGGCCATCCCCTTTAGGGGGTGATTTCTCACTTTCTGTCTCTGTTTCTCTCTGCCCCTTGGGCAAGCGTACATGTCTTATAGCAAAAATCTCTCCAGGAAAAGAAAAAGTGAGAAAGCAAGCCACCAGGTCTGGGAATCAAGCCACAGTCAGCCATGTGGGAGTCCAGAGCCTTAACCACCATGCCACCTGCTGGTCCCAGATATTATCTTTTAAACACATCATCTTGAACAAACTTATTATGCATGTTGAAGAATATTGGTGGTGCCAGTCTTTGAAGGCTGCATGAGAGAGAAGACGAATGCAATTTGAGCAGCTCTTGAAAGACCGTCCTCTCCCTTTCACTGCTTTACGCAGAGCTACCCTGAGAAGGCATACTGCTCTAATGCAGAGAGGACAGGAGCTAAAACCGTCACACCGGGCCTGTTGACTTTTACTGACCTTCAGCTTATCTTTAAAAGTGGGAATAATCCCGTAACAATGCGGAGGATAAGTTAGATTGTTAGTGAAAATGAAGCATATAAATATATTGTGTTACAGGAAAAGTCATGATGTATTTTTCTATACAAGAATGTGTCATGACTTTACCAACAACTATTTATATATATATACACATACATATATATATATAATTTTTTTTAAATTTGCTAAAGGGTGCATACACTCACCAAAGAGACAGAAAGAGAAAAAGAGAGAAAGCACCCTCCTACGGAAGATGGGCATTCTGCAATCCCTTCTCCTCCACTTTCAAGATTTTAGGCATACACACATGTGCCCAGCATGTTTTTCAGACTGCCGGGCCTGGGACTTGGCCATGTGGGACCCAGTCATCTCAACCACTAAACCACTATGCCACCAGCTGGCCCATATACAAATATTCTCACCAGTAGCGCCACGATGCAAATGCCAGGCTAGGCAGCGGTGCAGTAGTAACACACCTGGGCCCCCACGGGCAATGTCCTGGGACTCCCCCCTGAGCACACCAGGTGCACACACATCTGTGACCCAGGCGGCTGAGGCTGGGGTGGACTGGGGCCTGAGCGCCCTGTTGGAGGTTACCTGTCTCCTTGTCATCTCTCATGGAAGAATAAGAAAACTTGAAGAAATGCAAATATGTGCAGGGAAAAGACACCTGACCTTAATTACAGATGCTCTTATGATTCCGTATGTCTAGTTTCATCGGTTTATCACTGATGGGGCAGCTTAGATGAGCAGGGCAGGGACGGCTACGGAAGGCACGTCTAGGAGCATCCGAGGGAGGCGCCAGCCTGTGCGCATGGAGAGCGAGTCTCTACCAGACATAAGAGCAGTGGAGCGGGAAGGGCACAACAGGGAAGGGAGTACAGGGCACGGTCTTTGGAAACTGCTGACGTCACTGACAAGCAACGAGGAGCAATCAAGTCCAATGTGGCTGGCTTGGAATCCTGACATGTCTAAGGAAAATTAGTCTCGGATGAGATTATCTGCAGGAATAATAGCACTACCTACCCCGAAGGGTTACTGCAAGGATTAGAGAGAACATGTACTCTTGTTTAGCACTGTGACTAGCACATTGTAGATGCTCAATAAAAGGCATTGTTTTTCCTCAATGAATATATGTTAAGAAATCAAAAAGGACTAGAGAAGACGGAAAGATAACAATACTGAAACTTAATGGAAACAGAAATCTTACACAGTGCACCCTTTGCTTCTTTTTGTTACTAAAATGACGTGTTGTGTAGATCTGGTGGGAAAGATCCCTAACAGGCCAGCAGGTGGCACAGTGGCTAAGGTGCTGGATGTCACAGGCTGACTGCAGCTCCAGGCTCAGACGCAGCGGCTTGAGAAACAAGCCAGGCACTTGTGTGCCCACGAGAATAGAAAAGGACGGGGCGTGTCTCTGTGTCTCTCTCTGGTGAGTGCATGTACCCTATGGCGAAAATCTTGGGGAAAAAAAAAAGGTGTGTGTGTGGGGGGCAGGACCACCAAAAGTTACTCAGGAAACACAATGAAGGGACGTTTTCCTGCAGCGCTGTGCCATCGTTTTCCTCGGGGCACCCTACTCTGGGCTGGCTCATGGCTTATTGTTAGGGGGCTGAAACACCTATGGCAGACTGCGCTTTGAATCCCGGCCCTGGCGGCCTGACAGATGTGCCGGACTGTGTGTGCTTTGCCAAAATCCTGACAGGACGGAGAAATGGAAGAGATGGGACTGCGATGGCATACCACAGGGGGGTGGCTTTCTCCATCCCCGTCTCTCCCTCGTGAATGCTCACACCCTCCAGCAATTTAAAAGGAAAGAAAGACACACTACACTAAAATGCCACGGCTTCGTTTATACGGGTTTTAGGTAATGACTGCAGTCAGCTATTCCTCATGGCTACCGAGCAGAGCAGATTTTCACTTTACAGTCTCTCAACATCTGCTATGAAATATTCAAATTTTCATGATGTGGTTTTAAAATAACTGAAAACGAAACCTGGCTTTACTAGGATTAAGAAGCTCTACGGTTAGTTAACAGTTGAGGAATAAAAATACGAGAGGCTAATTTTACCTACAATATTTAGAGAGCTATTTTAATCTCAGTAACTTTTATTTATTCATGTTTTGCTATACAGTACATGTGCTTGCTGGCGAAGGGGCAGGGAGGCGGTGAAAAAGCACCTCCTTTCTCGATCCTTCCCGCAACCCCTTCCCCTCCATCCTCTCCTCAGGATTTTCTGGGGTATGCATGCACATGCGCCCCACTTGTTTTTCAAGCGGCTGGGTCTGGGCCTTGAACGTCATAGCTGGCCATGTAGGATCCGGCCACCTTCACCCCCATGACGCTGGTGAACTCTCTCAATAACTACTGATATGTAACAAGCAACACGAACAAAAATAGATTTCTAAGCCTTCTTTCTGAACCAATTTGAATCCCTAAATACTAATACTACAAAGAATTCTATATTACACTGGTATACACAATAACCTATAGGGAATTATAATTAGTTCTTACTCAATTATAATTAATTCTTAAATATTATTTTCTCTAATGTGGGAGGATAGTAAATGAATCCCCAAATAATTATTTTATTTTAAAACAATGTGTGTGGAGGAATATTGTTCAAAAATACATGAAGAGTGTCTATTATGAAAAACTATGAATAGATTTCAATTTTTTCTCACACCAGCCAAGTCTTACACTTTAATTCCATTTTCAATGAACTTTATGAAGTGCCCTCGTGTAAGATGTTTTTTCCCTCTTTCTTCTCTCCACTGGAGGTCTTATGATGTTTGAGTCAACTCAGACTTAGCCGCCCTGCTCACGACCGGGGCTGATGACAGCCAACGGCGTGCTGGTCACCGGCTCTCCAGGGAAGAGAAATAAAGGCTGACTTGTAGCATACGCCGATTTTATGGCCACTTCCAAGATACCAAGGGGATGTCGGAGGAGGCCGAGTTGGGAAGGGGTGCCCACAACTGGCTCTGGGACGCTGTGACAGCCACCAGCATGCGGCTGACAGAGCCACGACCACTTTGAGAGCTTACTCAGACCGTATGACCTTCTGAGTATGTAAGACCCAACTGGCCTTCTAACACCAGACTGACTGCCTAGTATTTAAGCTAAATCCAACATCTAATTAGTAGGTCTTATATAACGGGCAGCACTTCTTTCAGAGTTAGATGAGGCTGGAGGGAGACACTGGCATGGAGAGAGACGACAGTGACAGGACTGCTAATCTGGGTGTCACGTACAAGTAACTGCGGCTTTACTGTGAATAAAGAAAAAGGAAAGATAAAAAGCATTTTTGGTTTCATCACCTTGACTCTTAAAGATAAGACTAGATAGGGCCAGCAGGTGGGGTAGTGCTCGAAGACGCTGGACTTCCACACGGCTGACCACGGTTCGCATTCTGGACCTGGCAGCCTGAAAATCATGCCGGGCACATGTACACGTGGGCCCAAAAGCCCAAGAGGAGGATGGAGAAGCAGGACTGTGGTGTGGCCATCCCCCCGGGCTGTGATTTCTCACGTTCCCTCTCACTGTCTCTGTCACTCTGGTAAGCACACGTACTCTATGGCAAAAAAAAAGGATGAGGACTACATGAACAAGGTGGAAGCAGTGCACACAGGTCCTCTGAGGTCTGGCCGTACCTCTGCGAGATCTGAGAAGAGCGCCTGGCTCGTGCTGCGCCTCAGCGTGTCCCAGTAGCTTCTGGGCACCAGTTCCTCGGCGTCTGTTCTGAGCACCTGTGGAGGTTGTAAGAGGCACAACTGAAATGTAAAGAAAGGTCACAAAGCGCGATAACTGATACATTTTAAGACTCTTCTAATCAACCTTGGGAAAAAGAAAAAATACATTAGCTTACCTTTGTCTGCCGCCAACACAACCAATGTCACACTGCTGGTGAACCTGGGTACTTTCAAAGACGTAATGGTATGTAACCACCATTTCTAAATACGACGTGCCTCGTCAGAAAAACCAAATTTTCCAATCGCTCCCTTGGCCCTTCTACCGAAATATGCATAATTTCCAAGTGTTGAAATAAAAATTTTACACCTCGTATGAAATCTGTTCATTTGGTAATTATTTTGCAGCAACACATTAAAAATCCCATTTAATTGAAAAGTGGATTGTGGTTGGCTATCATCTAAATTAGTGCATCCAAGAGTCAAAATGACCTTATCCATACTTTAAAGACACAAAATTAAAATTATTCTAAACCTTATTAAAAGGAAATATACTCATTTAAAATTAAACCGCTCGAGGCTACTCAGGGATGTGTGTGTCTGCTGTGAATGGTACAGTGCTGACCAGTCTTTCTACAAGGGCAGAGCGCCAGCTCTTCTCTTTATTGACTAACATGAAGGAGACACCAAGATGAATAGCCGTACCTTCCTATGAGATACTGCACTGTGATATTAACTTGGCTCTCTATAAACGAAAATGATTCAAACAGCGTCTATCAGCATTTATCAGAGAGGATGTCACGGGTTCGCAGGCTTGGTGGGCTTTTCATTATTATGAGAAGAGAATGCTATCTGGACTGATAGACTGAAAATGAGAGAACTTTTCCTTTTCCTAATCTTAAATTGCTTTTAATTTTTTTTTGTTTTTTAGTTTTTTTTGCTATAGGATGTGTGTGCTCACCAGAGAGAGAGAGAGAGAGAGCGACAGAGAGAGCAGGTGGCATAGTGGTTAAGGACGCTGGACTCCCACATGGCCAACAGCAGTTTGAGTCCTGGACCTGGTGGCTTGGTTTCTCATTTTCCCTCTCTCTCACTTTCCTGCTCTGTTCCTCTCTGGTCAAATTTAAATAAATAAATAAACAAATAGATAAGTAAATGTATGTTAAATAAAATAATTCTTTATAATTATTATTATTATTATTATTTTTTTGGAGAGGTTTTTGCTATAGGGCGTGTGTGCTTGCCAGAAAGACAGAGAGACAGAGAGACAGAAAGCGACAAATCACACTGCAATCCCTTCTCCTCCATTCTCCTCTCGGGATCTTGGGCACACACACGCACATGCGCCCGGCATGAGTTTTAGCCACTGGGTCCGGGACTCAAACCGTGGTCGGCTACATGGGAGTTCAGCATCATAGCCATTACGCTAACTGCTGGTCCCCAATAAAATAATTCTTTAAAAAATTTAAGGAAAAAAAAAGGGACAGAGGGAACAAGTGAGAAAGTACCCTCTGGGGAAGACCATGCCGCAGTCCCTTCTTCTCCACTCTGCTCTAGGGATTTGGGGCACACGAGCACGTCCAACATGTTTCTCAAGCCACCAGGTTCGGGACTGGACCACGGGGGATCTAGCTGCCTTAGCCACCAGATTAACCAAATTAACACCCACTAGCTGGCCTGTCTTAATTTTTAAAAGTCTGATGATACTAATAAAGTAATAGTGCATTTAGAAATTATTTCAATGAATTTCTAAGTTTTGATTTACTATGATTAGCTAGAAAACACTGTCCACTGTCTGCATCTTACTAAAACCTTAATGAAATGTTAATATTACAGAATTTAACAGGAACCCCTTAGATAACATATACTATTACCACAGTATAAGTGAAGCAACATGACAAAATCTGCTCTTCACTCCCTTTAGAAACTAAGGAAGCTTGGACTAAGCAGTTAGAAACTAAACAGGTAAAATTAGCTTGAGATGGAATATAGTTCATTTTCTTTTCTATAGGTATGCCATAACTTTATAATAAACACCAGCTGGATCAAATACTTACTCTGTAAATATTAGGTACACATTTTGAAGGTGGATTCGCTTTTAAATTAAAAATTTAAAGGGTTAATACATGATAAAGAAAGGGACTGTTAAAGCTGTCAAGGTAGAAAACGGGCTTGCTGTATACTGTTAGAGCAATGGGTGTGATCCACGTCATGCCTCTTCCCTACATTCAGACACTGCTTACTGTCACACGCACACACACGTGCACACACGGAGGACATTATACACATATTTACAATATATTAAGAGGTAAAAGTAGTTTAACAAGTCATGTGTTTTTCTGAACACAGAGAAAATATACTAAGATACACTATCTCAGAATGGTGAGGTTAGGATATATATATATTTTTGAGATGCTTTTGCTATAGGGTGCGCGTGCTTGCTGGAAATACAGGGAGAGACAGAGAGATACAAAGCGAGAAATCATTCCCCAGGGGGGATGGCCACGCGGCAATCCCTTCTCCTCCATTCTCCTCTTGGGATCTTGGGCACACATGCACAGGCGCCCGGCGTGAGTTTAAGCCACTGGGTCCGGGACTTGAACTGTGGTCGACTTAATGGGAGTCCAATGACATAGCCATTACACCAACTGCTGGTCCCAAGGTTAGGATATTTTAAATTTCTTTTCGTTTTCCCATATTTTAAAGTCACTTTTAAAAAATGTGTATTCACGGGAACCAGCAGTTAGCGTAATGGCTATGTTGCTGGACTCCCACGTAGTTGACCGTGGTTCACGTCCTGGACCCAGTGGCTTAAAACTCACGCTGGGCGCGAGTGGGTGCATGCCCAAGATCCCGAGAGGGGAATGGAGAAGGGATTGTGGCATGACCATCCCCCGGGGGGGTGATTTCTCACTTTCTGTTTCTCTATCTCTCTGTCTGGTGAGCGCATGTGTCCTATAGCGAAAAAACCTCCCCCCCCCAAAAAAAAAATGTGTCTTCACCTACAGGGTAACACGTGACTCTGTACAACGATCTTATTTTAGAGCTAACAGCTACCTCCTATAGAAAGCCTTCCTACTCATTGGCTGGCTCCAGAGATTACACTATGTGAGAACACATGACTGAATTGATATAAACGGATATATTTATTTTTGTTTGATCTTATGCCGACTTTTAAATGATACATTTCTGAGGGCAGGGATGATCTCCTTACAGCACTGTAACTGCAGGAGAAAAATGTAACAGATCAGGGATATGCGTGGCACACGCATGGATCCCTACACACAGGGGTGCTCCGGAACCAGTATTCAGTATGTTCACTAATATCTTAGATGGGACCAGTGGATGGTGGAACGGTTATGTCACTGGGCTCCCATGTAGTCAACAGCAGTTTGAGGTCGCTAGACTCCCACATAGTCAACCACAGTTCAAGCCCGGAACCTGATGGCTTAAGACTCACAGTGGGTGCGTGTGCGTCCATGCTCAAAATCCCAAGAGGAGTTTGGAGAAGATGGGACTGTGGTGTGGCCATCCCCCTGGGGGATGATTTTTCGCTTTCTGTCTCTGTGTCTTTGTGTTTCTGGCAAGCGCCCGTGCCCTATAGTAAAAATCTCTCTGGGG